AGAAACTCCTATCAACAACATCTAAAGGGAAACAACACGATATACCCACAAGTTCTGAGATTATTCTAGAGGTGGGGAGAATGCTAATTTCAGAAAAATGTTGTGACCTTAAATATCTATTCACTTAAGCCTTTTATAATCCTCACTCATATTTCTTTTAAAAATAAGTCACATGTAATAGCTATCTAATAGCTCTTTTAAATAATTATTGCGTCATAAAGATCTTTGTGGTTATTTACTGCTCCCCAGTGAAATTCAGGTTGATTTTTTTTCTGCTTCTAATGTTGTTTCATTTCTCTTAATCTTTCCAGAGGACTGTTTCTAATACTTTTTTTCTGCTTCTTTTCCAATGTTTATTCCTTTCCTTGATGACATGTGCCATCTTTTAATTATTTTATGTCCAGTCCATCTGTTGCAGTTCTGCTTTCATCGTATTCCTTTGTTTTCTAACTCTCAATCTAATGCATGACTGTCTCTGGATCATCTATATGCTGCTCTCTCAGTATTAGGGGTTTCATAGTATTTAGAAGTAATATTGCAAGCTGACACAACCTTCTAATAAGCCAGGATCAATGCCGTAAGAGCAATGACCAGGGAAAAATGCCAAACAGGGTAAAAATTTAACAAGATTGTAATTAAGACTTACACCCAAAAAATTATTCAAAACTTTCACTCAACTGTCTACTTTAGATTTGATTATTCCCTACTTGAATAAATACTCAAAGAATAGTTTTTAAAGAAAATATCAGCTGTGTTAAGTATTTGATAAGGTCATGATACACATTGTATTTTTCTGTTTCAGAACCTCAGTATTGAAGAAAAATTAGAATAAATCCCATTATTGTATAGTATCACTTATTGGCATTAGGCATTGAGTGTTGCTTAATTGTCCTCTTGTGATAGTTTAAAAAAGCACTTGTGTCTTAGCCTAGTGCAAAATATTTTTTTTAAATAGTTATATGTTGGGGCCTGCACTATGGTGTAGCAGGTAAAGCTTCCTCCTGCAGTGCCGACATCCCATGAGTGCCTGTTCAAGTCCCGGCTGCTCTACTTCCGATCCAGCTCTCTGCTATGGCCTAGGAAATCAGTAGAAGATGGCCCAGTCCTGGCCCCTGCACCAGCATGGGAGACCTGAAGGAGGCTCCTGGCTCCTGGCTTCAGATCGGTGAAGCTCCAGCCATTGATCTGGAGAGTGAACCAATGGATGGAAGACCTCTCTCTCTCTCTCTCTCTCTCTCTCTCTCTGCCTCTCCTTCTCTCTCTGTGTAACTCTTTCAAGTAAATAAATAAATATTTTTAAAAAATAGCTATTTGAAAGGCAGAGCTACTGAGAGAGGAAGAAAGAGAGAGAGAGAGGTCTTTCATCTGCTGGCTTACTCGCCAGATGAGCACAAGTGCTGGGGTTGTGCCAGACCAAAGCCGGGAGCCAGGAGCTTCACCCTGGCCTCCCATGTGGGTGGTGGGGCCCGATAACTTGGGCCATCTTCTACTGCTTTCCCAGGACACAGCAGAGAGCTGGATCTGAAGAGCTGCCAAGGCTCAAAACAGCACTCCTTCAAAATGAACGCTGGTCCCCCAAACATTTTTTTTAGCATTGCTTGTGCTTGCTCCCAGCCACAAAGCAGGGCTTTAAGAACCTTAATAAACAACAGGATGTCCTTGATGAGGGGTAATCTCATGGCTGCTGTAACAAATGCTGCAAATTGTGTGGCTTAAAGTGACAGAAGCTTCTCTAACGCTTTTGGAATGAAGAAGTCTCAAATCAAGATGTTGCCAGGCAATGGTCTACTGGAAAGCTCTAGGGGAGGATCCTTCATTAACTCTTCCAAGATTTTGATGGCAGCTGGAAAACCTTGAGGCTTCTTGCTTGTGGCAAAATAACTCCAGCCTCTTCCAGAGCCTTCTTGTGTGTCTGGGTCTCCATGTCTTTTTTCTCATAAGTACCCCGGCACTGGTCTTCTGCAATCACATATGACTCACTTGATTATCATCTAACTTGATTATTTCTGCAAAAGGCTTATTTCCAAATAAAGTTATATTTATAGGTAAAAGGGTTAGTATTGAGCAAATCTTTTTTGATAACAAAATTCAACCCCTAACAGATTCCTTTCCTTTCTTAAAAAAATTTAATCATAGTGATGGTGTATCTAAATGTGATGTTATATACACTGTAGATGTTTAATTCACATTATTTGATTTTGATTTCTCTACTTCTAATGCTTTTTAATACTAGCGATGTTTATTGTAGTAGCATTAATAACTGTCAGAGAGAAAGGATATTCTGCTTTAAACAGATGGAAATGCAAATTCTGATTTAAAAAAACCCTGATATGATGGTCAAATAGTATCTTTAATGTATTTTTAAAAAAATAAACCCCAATATATGAATGTTAATTATAAATAGTACATTGACTTCTGCAAAAAAGTTCAGGAGCAACTTACCATATTCCTATAAATCAAAGTAAGCATACTTTGAAAAACGTAATGAAACTCAAGCTTTCCATGAATGGTGACCAGGTGTTAAGATCTGAAAATTCAAAAGCTAGTGAAGAGAAAGAGTACAACTCTTACTTCTCATTTCAGTTCATTATACTAATTAAAATTAAAATTCTCTCCATTAAAATTACTAGCAGCTGTATGGTTCTTGTTACTATTGTTGGTGTACTCAGAAAATGCTCTGAAGAGAGCATCAAGACTTGTTTGTGATCCACACACCCACACAGCCTTGACACGTGGGGAAGATTTCAGGCAGCATAACTAATAAAGTTAGTGTGCTCTTGTGAGCAGATAACAGCATGTTTGAAGATAGCACATTAACCCTGGTGTAAAGTATTGATTATATTCCAGCAGAGGAAATGAGAGAACAAAGACAAAATGTTTTTAATTCTTATCCTGTTTGCTCTTCTTGTTTTACTCCACTTCAGTTTACACCTATACTCAAGAACACAAAAAAATGTATCACCCGACCTCAAAGCAGTGTTATTTTTCCTACACACTTTCATAACAATTGGATGCTTTGAAGAAGAGATGCGCAATCTAACTTAGAAAGAGATGAATGAGAAATATGGTCCAAACACAAGTAGCTGTGAACTCAATTCACTGTTTGCTATTATGAAAAAGATGAGAGAAGAAGGAGGCTGGGAGGGAGGGAGGAAAAAGTGAGAAAAGAGGGAGTGAACAGAGGGAAGAAGAGTTAAAGGGCTGGCGCTGTGGCACAGGGCAAAGCACCTGCAGTGCTGTCAAACCATTTGGGCTTGGGTTCAAGGCCCAGCTGCTCCACTTCCAATCCGGCCCTCTGGTACGGCCTGGGAAAGCAGTAAAAGATGGCCCAAGTCCTTGGGCCCCTGCACCCATGTGGGAGACCCAGAAGAACCTCCTGATTCCTGGCTTCGGATCAGCTCAGCTCTGGCTGTTGCGGCCATCTGGGGAGTGAACCAGCAGATGGAAGAACTTTCTCTCTCTCTCTCTCTCTCTCTCTGCCTCTCTGTAATTTTGCCTTTCAAATAAATAAATAAATCTTTAAAATTTTTAAAAAATAAAACAAGAGTTAAGGGGGGGCCGGAGCCGTGGCTCACTAGGCTAATCCTCCGCCTTGTGGTGCCAGCACACTGGATTGTAGTCCCGGTCAGGGCGCCGGATTCTGTCCCGGTTGCCCCTCTTCTAGGCCAGCTCTCTGCTGTGGCCAGGGAGTGCAGTGGAGGATGGCCCAGGTACTTGGGCCCTGCACCCCATGGGAGACCAGGAGAAGCACCTGGCTCCTGGCTCCTGCCATCGGATCAGCGCGGTGCGCCGGCCGCGGCGGCCATTGGATGGCAGGAGCCAGGAGCCAGGTGCTTTTCCTGGTCTCCCATGGGGTGCAGGGCCCAAGCACTTGGGCCATCCTCCACTGCACTCCCTGGCCACAGCAGAGGGCTGGCCTGGAAGAGGGGCAACCAGGACAGAATCCGGCGCCCCGACCGGGACTAGAACCCGGTGTGCCGGCGCTGCTAGGCGGAGGATTAGCCTAGTGAGCCGCGGCGCCGGCCTTCTTTGAAGATTTTTAACTACACCAACTTATAAACCTGATCACAATACGGAATATAGCAATAAACAAAACATTAATACTTCAAAAATCTCAAGTTTGAAGCTAAAAAGCTATTTTATACTTTTTTTAAAATACAGGCAGAGAGACAAAGAGATCTTCCCTTTGCTGGTTCATTCCCCAAATGCCCACAACAGTCAGGGCTGGCCAGGGCTGTAGCGAGGAGCCTGGAACTCCAGCTAGGTCTCCCTCATGGGTGGCAGGAACCCAAGTACTTAACCCACTGCCTCCCATGGTGCACCTTAGCAGGAAACTGGGTCAGAAGTAGATGAGCCAAAACTTTGAACCAGGCACTCAATATGGGTTGCTGGGCTACCCAAGTGGACCCAAGGCTCCAAATGCCTGCACTTGAATTTAGAAAGTTTTATGATCTTCATCAAAGACTATTGATGCCAATAATATGGTCAAAAATATGAATATAGGCCCACACCAGCATCGCCATATCTGAGGAACAAGTTCTTCAGACGGTGGACCATAGGAAAAGAGTGATGAAAATTATTTTTAATGGCAAACAAAATTCTTGAAATTTTTGTATAATACCACAGATTTTATAGTTACAACCCTAGTATTGGTTCTTTGTTATATTATTGTACATAAAAATATGGTATACATAAAAATAAATGAGTACCCCTGTGTTCATTGTACTATAACGGGTGTTCAGGGTGTAGCATGAGCATCAACATTTGAAAATAAATAGGTTCCAGGTAAATTAAAGGAAAGTACAAACTAAAACTTTAAAGATTTTTAAATGTGAAAATGATGATAGCCTAAAGCTCCAGCGTTTTGGCTGACAGCTGATGGAAATGTCATACAGCAATTATTAGATACACAACAATATTGAAAAAATCAGATAAAATCTTAATGAACATCATTTGAAATTAGCCTTTTATGATGATCTAATAAGTATAAAGCCACTCACCTTTTCTGAACCATTTCTTTTAAAGCAGAGTTCCTATAATTGCATTTCTCTCTCTCTCTCTCTGTCTGTCTGAAGATGTATCTGTAAAGACATTTGGCATCTCATCAGCAAAAACAGCAGCAGCTGGAGGAAGACCTTCCTACGTGCTCTGCCAAGGGAATTGCAAGTGTAGGTGGGTGTTAATGGACATCAAGGATTCACTGACATAACATAGATTGCATGCTTTCATTCCATTATTTGTGCCTTTCTCTTTTAATGGAAATGAAAACAATTATAGAGCAGAACAGATAAAGCTTCTCATCAAGAGTAGCGTATTACAGTCAGTGAGGAGAGAACTGGCAGATACATATACAAGGTAGGTATTTACACACCAGAAGACACTCAAGTTATTCTGTGTTTTCAACTATCATAAACAAGATCTGCGAAAGTTAAGCCACAATAAACGAGCTACATTCTTACATAGGCCAAGAGATTTTAAAAATGTATCATTATTCTAATGGATGTTTTTCTAGAATTAGTAATTGTTATCTGACTTTTTAACATTTCTGTTGGCAACAAGTTGTTTCTTTCATTAATGTCCCATAATTTGAACTTTAGAACATACAAATGCTGCCTAAACCTAGCCGGGAAGATGGCCGTCACCAGGTGCTGACAAGTGCTTCAATAAGCAACTCCTCCCCCTTCGAAAGCAGCAAAACAGCCGATGAAGAATCATGCCCCAGCCTGATTCCTGAAAACTTCCGCATATGCCAGAGAACATGCGCTATTGTTCTGCATCTGACTAATTTTACTAAACACAATATACTCCAGTTCCATGCGTTTTGCTGCAAACATCAGGTTTTTATGTTTTTAAATGGCTAAATAATATTCTACTGTGTGAACTTAGACTAGTGCTTACCAGAGGCTGAAAAGAAGAAGGGGAGGGGCAGAGAGGAAGCTGGAGTAACAGGTACTAAAACACAGATGAAGGTAATAAGCTCTAGTGATTTACAGCACTGTAAGACAGCCACGGTTCACAATAATATATTCAATTGTCTACTCCAGGAAGAACTGGAAGACTTGTTGTCTCCAGACATAACAGATAAGGAGATGAAAATGCTAATTACCTGATCTGATCAGTTTATTCTGTATACATGTGCTAAAATTTTGCACTGCAGCCACAGAAAAAAAGTACAAATATTACAGCGTAGTAAAAAAAAAATCTGTACTCTGATTAACAAAATCAAGCCTCAATCTAAAATCAGAAAAGGAACTATAAAAATATCATGCTTAATGGTGCTCTGGGGCTTATATGGGTTGTGGGCATTATAAAACAATCAATTTACTCTGAGGCATGATTAATTATAAGATTATAGAAATGGGGGATGAAAGTGCTCTCACCTGTCAAATTCAGCCTTCCTTTTAAAGCAACTTTTTAAAATATGAAATTAAACCGTATGTCTTGTAATTTTGAGAAACAGGTTTCACTTAAGCACAGTAGATTGAACTGTACCTTATTTCTACTCCCTCTAGAAAAAAAAGTAATGCTAATAAAAGAATAAACCTGGAAGGAAAGAAAAATAAAAGATAATAGTAAGGGAAGTGAGCAAAGTTTTGGAAGGAGACAAGGACACAGAGGAGCTGTGACACAACTGGCAGAGCACGATGCAATCCAACAACTGAAAATCAAGAAGTCTGTTAAAGAGTAGCTGCCTGATTCCCCCTTCAGCCTCCTAGGCTGAGGACATGGGGCCTCCTGCACAGCTGCAGGCAGAGGTGTGTCTTGGAACTCAGTGACCACACAAGCAGAAGTCCTGAGGTTTAAATATTTATGTATTCATTTTCATTTATTTGAAAGGCAAAGAGAGGCAGACACAGGGACAGATCTCCTATGAGTTGGTTCATTCCCCCAAATGCCCACAACAGCTGGGGCTTGGCCAGGGCAAAGACAGGAGCCTAGAACTCAATCTGGGTCTCCCTCATGGGTGTCAGGAATCCAGTTACTTTAGGAGGAGGAAGGGTGGGAGTGTGGGTGGGAGGGCTGATAAGATGGGAAGAATAACTATATTCCTAAAGTTGTACTTATGAACTTTGTATTCTTTAAAAATTAAATTTTAAGGCTGGTGCCATGGCTCACTAGGCTAAGCCTCCACCTGCAGTGCCAGCATTCCGAGTTCTAGTCCCAGATGGGGTGCCGGTTCTGTCCCGGTTGCTACTCTTCCAGTCCAGCTCTCTGCTGTAGCCCAGGAAGGCATTGGAAGATGGCCCAGGTCCTTGGGCCCTGCACCTGCATGGGAGACCAGGAGAAAACACCAGGCTCCTGGCTTCAGATTGGGGAAGTGCACAGGCCGCAACACGCTGGTCATAGCAGCCATTTGCGGGGTGAACCAATGGAAAAAGAAAGACCTTTCTCTCACAATCCAACATGGGAAGCGAGATACGCAGCAGACCCATAGAATGGCAGATGTCCTAAACAGCACTCTGGCCTCAGAATCAGCCCTTAAGGCATGTGGATCTGGCTGAAAAGCCCATGAGAATATTTCAGGCATGGAAAGCCAAGACACTCTGGCAAAAAAAAAACAAAAAAACAAAACAAAAAAAAAAAAAAAACAAAAAACAAAACCACCCTACATGAAAGATCTCTGTGAGATCCCAGTGGAAAGAAGAAGGAGGTACCTTTCTCTGAAGGGAGGAGAGAACTTCCACTTTGACTATGGCCTTGTCTAAATATGATCAGAGTTGGTGAACTCAAAAGGCTTCCATAGCCTTGGCAACGCATGACAAGAGCCTAGGGTGATTACTGAGGCCATAAACAAGAGTGTCAATTTGTTAAGTCAACAACAGGAGTCACTGTGCACTTACTCCTCATGTAGGATCTCTGTCCTTAATGTGCTGTACATTGTGATTTAATGCTATAACTAGTACTCAAACAGTATTTTTCACTTTATGTTTCTATGTGGGTGCAAACTGTTGAAATCTCTACTTAATATATGCTAAACTGATCTTCTGTATATAAAGAGAATTGAAAATGAATCTTGATGCGAATGGAAGGGGGGAGGGAGAGGGAAAGGGGAGGGTTGCGGGTGGGAGGGAAGTTATGGGGGGTGGGGGGAGCCATTGTAATCCATAAGCTGTACTTTGGAAATTTATATTCATTAAATAAAAGTTAAAAAATAAAATAAAAAGAAAGACCTTTCTGTCTCTCTCTCTCTCACGGTCTAACTCTGCCTGTCAAAAAATAAATAAATACATTTTTAAAAAATTAAAAAATAAATAAATTAGGCCACTTGTGTTTGACGAAGTACAAAGGGAATTCACTGATGAAATCCTACCCTCTTCAGATGGAACTAAAATAATTGGATACCCACTTTCTAAAGTAAGCGAAACTCAATCCAAACTTCATTCCATGTAGACAAGGAAAATCAAGATGGATCATAAACCCAAGAGCAAACTCAAAAACCATAAAAATTCTAGAAGAGACAAAATGGAAAATTTGTTACAATAGGATAGGCAAACGTTTCTTAGATTAAAGCTTAAAGTATCAAATTAAATAAAATAAAGTAAAAAATTCATCAGATTGAAAACTTTTCATTTTCAAAAGGCATCGTTCATAGACCAAAAGGACAGGCCACAAACCTGGAGAGAATGGGTCCATATACTATGCATGGTAAAAAGTTTATATCAAAAGTATATTTCAAACTGCAAAATCACATAAATAAGAAGAGAACAAACTAATTTAAAAAATTAGAGTAATCAAGATAAAGCTGGATCATCTTTTGTTACAGGAAGTAAGGAGGTGCTCAAAACCAAGTCAAAACAACCAGCAACCCTCCAGGCATGGAGGTGCATCAGAGGGAAACTGGAGCCAACTGACAGAGCTCCCAGTGGTCAAAGCTGGAACAATTTTAGCAACAGGAGCAAGAACAAAGTAATTCTTAGATTACTTAAAGAAAAGCAAGTCAGAGTATAAAATAGATTTTAGATTTCCATAGATCAGATCATACTGATATAAATAAATGATTAAGTAAGTTTCAGGGTAGGTATCCAGTGTACAAGTGTGTGAATGCTTCACCGTCAATAAAGGGACCATAATTTCCCAGTGAGTGTGAGCAGCACACAAGGACTCCTTTACTAGAGAAGAAGAGTAACTTCACAGTGGAGGCTTGACTTTAATTAAGTGATCCAGGTTAGTGTTAACAGTGACAAGCTGATTGTAAGAACTCCTTTAAGCCTTAAAAGATACGATTAAAATGGAAGTTAGCCACTGTGGTCTTATTCTCCAAAAAACTATTATCCTAGTAAAACCACCAGAAAAATATCAGACAGATTCTATCAGAGAAGCATTCTGTGAAACACCTGATCTGTACTGTCCAAACCTGTCAGGGCCAGCAAAAACAAAGAGAGCAGGAACTGTCGCAAACAAGAAGAGCCTGAGGAGAAATGATTAAATGTAATGTGGTCTCCTAGAACAAGTATAGGACATTATGTAAAAACTAAGGAAGTTTGGGTCTAGATTGCAGTTAATGATAAGATATCAATATTCCTTCATTAACTGAAGCAGGCGTACACAATGGTGGAAGACATTAGGGAAAACTGGGTGCATGATCTAAATGGGTGCATGATCCGTGAGAATTCTCTGCACTGTCCTCTCAGTTTTTCTGGAAATTTAAAACTGTTCTAAAAAATAAAGTTTCTTTTTAAGATGTGGGTAGACACTTCACCAAAAAAAGGTACAGTTGAAAAATAACCATAAGAAGATTGTCAACATTAGTCATTAGGAAACATAAGTCATAGCCATAATTAGATAGCAGCACTTTTGTTTGAAGTCTCAAACTAAAGGACAGACCAACCAAATGTTGATGAACATGTACATTCATGTTTAGCTGATTGGAGCTCTCATACATTCCTGATAAGAACGTACAATTGTGGAACTGTTGTGAAAAACGATGTAGCAGGTTCTTAAAAAGTCAAATATATTGGGAACAGCACAGTGGCGTAGCGGATAAGCCACTGCTTTCAATGCCAGCATCCCAATATGGGCGCTGGCTGCTCATATAGAATTGAGGGCTAGCTGTTCCACTTCTGATCCAGCTCCCTGTTTA